ATTATGCAATTCCTGGTCTTAGCTTTCTGATTGAAGCTCGAAAGTAAGCGATTAACCTACCCAAGGTGTTCGTGTAAATGAATGGCAGAACAAGGAATATAAGATATCGTAAAAAGACAAAGCATTGTTAAATGCTACAAAGGATAGGGAGTTGTGAAGAGCCATGATCAACTATATCCTGAAGGCTTTTGGGGCACCTAGGGCTGTTGTAATGGTTAGCAAGCTTGTCTCGCTAGAACAATTACTACTGAGTAGTAAGTTCGATCCTCACTGGGTGCCACATCTAAGCTACGCTCTAAGCACATAGAAATAGAAGAAGATATATTAATTTTCTATACTTCTAGAAGCAGAACCCGGATGACGTCAGGTAGTTTTGCTAGTGTTTAATAAATAACAAGATTGCTAAGAAGGAGAGAAAGAGAGACGAAAGAAGGAGAGCAAGTGCAAGAAAGATAGAGAGGCAGACAGAGTGAAGATGAAAATAGAAAAATGAATATAAATGAAGAACAGGGAAGACAAGAGAAAGAGTATGTTTTATAAACTGGACGATAACAAAATGGCGTCTGTAGAACTTTTTTTTCTTCTTCTTCTTTTTACGCCCAGGGCGCTATTCCAGTGATGTCGTCGGCTTCAGCTGAGCCAGGATAAACAATTCATTATAGGTATACAAAATAAACAGTGGGAAGCATTGAAAATAAAATGAGAAAACCAAACAACTACAAGACCAAATAATAAGAAGAAAAACTAATTTGTCTCAGATGTCGTCACGACAAAAACGACCGCCATTATCGCAATTACCAGCCTTTGTGAATTTCAAAGGACACATGAGTTGCAAAATAAATATTATTATTAATAATATTATTATTATTATTGACAGGATTATCGCTATTCTTATTGACACTCGTATCAATATAAAATATGGCTGTTCCATTGATAAGAATAAGAAAAATATGAAAAGAGGATTAATTAGTTTCGACAAATGTTTTCAATCTCCTCAAACGTAACTAGAACCTGTCATGAATTAAAGGGGTATAACAGCATTTTACTGTTAATGCTTGTGGAGAGTAGAGTTTGTTTAAAACTGTCATTTTATCTACACATCTCCTGGTGGGCAAAGAAGAAGGACAATGGATTCATAACCGTGAAGATAACAGTCCCAGAAAAAAAATTCCAAGTCACATTCTCAATTTCGTTTTTTGGTGGTGATATATATATATATATATATATATATATATATATATATATATATATATATATATATATAATGAAATGCATCGTCCGACAATTTTTTAATATATTTTCTTTTAATACATTATTTTTATAGATATAATTTAATTATATTGTTTAATTAAAAAACAGATCATTTACTGAAAATTATCTATAAAAAATAAAGTACAAACCGAAAATATTGCATATATATATATATATATATATATATATATATGTGTGTGTGTGTGTGTGTGTGCCTGTGTCTGTGTGCGCTCGATGAAAATACAGTTTGAAGGTATGCTATGTTTATGGGTAAAAGTGCTTAATATCAGAGACAGACCGTATGTAAGTATAAAAGTGGACACCGATATCAACGCAGAGTGGCGACAGTCTGTTTCATACTTGACCGCAACCTTAAAGCCATTGATATATATATATATATATATATATATAAACACCGTTTAATCTGACGTGCCTTTTTTTTTCATATTTATATATTTTTCTCATATCGCATTTACTAAAGAAATAATGTATTTTTATTTTTCATCCGACATTTTTATCACTTCAAATTTTGAAGTAATAAAAATGTCGTATTAAAAATACATTAATATAGATATTGATTAATAAATTAATTAATAGACTTTTATTTTTTTATACGTCCTTTTTATTGCTTCAACATTTGGTGTGATTAAAATATAGGATTAAAAATAAAAAAAAATACATTAATTCTTTAGAAATTGCGATATGAGCTTTTAAAAAAATAATCTGAACGAGAAAGCATACTTCCCTCAAAAGGGGAAAAAAAGAAGCTGGCTGCCTCGTGACGGTTTCTGTGGCCGAGCGGTCTAAGGCACATCTGGATCAAATGGCACTTTCTTCGCCAAAGTGGGTCATATGTTCAAACCCTTCCGGGGAGTATATTTTCTAAGTTTTACTCTAGTGCGCAGGCCTAAAGATGAAATACGCAAGTAAAATAAAGATGGAGGGTCTATTTCATATGCGGGTATCCACTAAAGTAACGTTTGAAGCAACATATATAACATGTCTTTAAAGTCTCTTTACAATTTAAAAATATGTTACAAAGGTAATTGATGAGATATCTTAATCAGATTTGTTCTATGTACTCAGTAGTTATCGAAGCTTTTAATTACATTGCATTTGTGTATTTCAGGGTACCCTGTTGATGAAAGAGGTACTGTTAAATTAAACCCTAACATTTCCAAATCGATGGATTGGAAGGGTTGGCACAATTCCCTGGCCACCTCGTTCACCAGATATCACCCCCCTGGACTTCTTTCTATGGAGGTTATGTTAAAGATATCGTGTATCGAACAAAGAAAGATACGAGACATCACTGATCTAAAGCAAAAGATCGCTGATGCCATTGCCACCACTGATGAGGCTAAGCCACAGCGAACATGGCAAGAAATCGAGTACCAACTTGATGTGCTTCGAGCAACTAATGGTGACCATATAGAGGGATATTAAATTAGTAAAAAAAAACTTCACTATCCTCGTTTCCATATATTTGTCTGTTCATTTGCTTTTCTAAGAGAGAGAGAGAGAGAGAGAAATAAAGGTAGAGAGGTGGGATTAAGAATGGCTTATTAATTTTAACGCCTCTAAAACAAAACAGTTCTTTTAATCATTTGAGATAATCCTTTTAATCATTTGAGATAATCCTTTCTGGTATCCAACATCATGGCTGATGCTAACCTCCAGGAGAGTGACGGGATGCGCCTTCTCAGGCTCACGTTCTCGGCAGCCACGAAGTGGAAAGACTATATTGAATCCGTTGGTAGGTCAGCTGCTGAGAAAGTTGGTTCACTGTGTCGTGCAAGACAATTTTTCTCTCCAGAATCTATCTTGTAGTGAGCAAAACAAGATCTAGATTTAAAAATTCAAATGCTAAGCACTGACTTATTGATTTTGTTAGAAATTAAAAAGACTCAAATTTACAAACTTTGCTTAACACACGCGCAAAAGCGAATCCAAAACAAAACTCGTGAAATTTCACATCTTAATGCGAAAAGTTTTTCGGCCAATAGAAAACTAGGAAACATTTAAAAACAAAATTCAAATAATCTTTAATTCTCAGAAACAAATTCTTTTACGGACCTTTTCACGAGCCGACGCGAAGTTTGTTCATCGTCCAATGGAAAGGCCCGAATCCTATCCGGGAGTGAATTCCCAAATGACCTTTTCAAGCCCCACAAACAAAATAAAAGAGTGGCAAGTTCGCCTGTCACCAGAGCGAAGGAAACGAGCGTATTAACACGTCCCTTCACAAACGTCAAGCGATCGTTATTATTATCTCTACCTTTCTCCCTCACCTCTTTTATACTTGATAAACGAACGGAACATTTTAAGACTGAGCGATTACTTCAAATACATTCCTACCCTACAATAACGCTCATACATACATCCATACATACATCCACACATACGTTCCTGCCTACGTACACATAAACTCATTCTTGCAAAGACTACTATGAACATTTTGACGACCTTGTATCAACCAAAATACATTAATTTTATTTGTAAAGACCTTAATTGTTTTATATGTATATAAATTTGTTGTTTCACGTTACAATTTGATTTTCTTGTTTTATACCCCTCTTATGGTGGGCTATCTAACTAACAAGGCCAAACGAAACTAACCTTTTTCAACACTAATAAACTTCACTATAACTGATAGCCTACTATATTCTTATATATCTACTAGTCTACCATTCGTCAGGGCTTAGAATATTGCTGCCACATTTTTGTCCAGCGATCCTCCTGTTTATCGAAAGAAGAAACAGCAATATAATTGGTCTTGACCTGGAGTCTCGGCTTCAGTCACTTTTCCACTGCCATAAAGTTGCTTTCCTATGCCTTTTCTATAAATATTTTCATTGTCGCATAATTTAGATGACAATTTATCTATCGCATGCTGTATTTAAAAATACTTGATAAAATCCAAAGAAGAAACAGCAATATTATTGGTCCTGACTTGGCATCTTGGCTTCAGTCACTTTTTCACCACTGTAAAGTTACTTCTCTTTGCCTTTTCTATAAATATTTTCATGGTAATTGTTTGGATGAGTTCCTTGCTATGGTACCTGGTCTTTTTGAATTTAATTGCAGTACGAGATTGGCAACAAGATCTCATCAATTTATAGTTGAATTGGCTAGAGGTAACTAAGTTCTATGCTAACAGTCCCTTTTCTCATACTTCTTACTTGTGGAACTCTTTTTCTGGCTCCATGCTTTCCAGTTAACTTTGACTTTCAAAAATTGAAATGCAATGTCAGTGGTTATGTACTGTCTTCTTAATTACTCTTCTATTGTTTTCACTTCTTAATAATGTTTCTGATTTATAATTCTTTCCCCTCCAACACCTTTTGTCTTAGTGGCTTTACTGTCTTGCTTGGGGTGAAATGATTACAAAAATAAAATATGAGACTGACCGTCATTTGACTCTCTGGAATGATCTTTATCTTAATAATAATTATTAAAAAGTTCATAATGCTGTTTTTCTCAATGTAAAAAGTTTAAATTGTATAAGAAAGGATGAATGTCGATGTATAAAATTGGAATTTTTCTTGTGGTAAAAACGAGCCTTACCAATCGATAATCTAAAATAGGTCATAGCTTTAAGCTCTATGCAGACAACGACCAGTATGTGGAAATAGCAAGGGAGATAATCGATAGCTTGACCAATAGTAAAAACTGTTTATTGTTTGTACGGCCTTTTACCGTTTGGGATCTGTTTACCGCCATTTTTTTTTCTGCCAATCATATTTACGATGAACGAAGACGAGAACAGATACGACGAAGAAAAAGCTGAGAAGGAAAAGTGGTCCATTGAGAGAGGAAACAGAAAATCACTTTTGACGTTGATGACTGTCAGTAACGTAAGTAGTGACGTGAAACAAACTTTTTTTCCCCTTTTTACATCATTATACCGTTCGTCTCTTTGGGATCTCCGTTCGATGGAATCGAGCTTTACTGGATTTGAGGATGCGTTCAATCAAAAGAGCCCTGATTAGAATGATTACATAAGCTAATCAAGAGATTTGATGGCGGAGGTAGTTGTGAATTTCATGTGACCGATAATAGTCGGTATTGAAGCTGAGGAGGAAAAAAGCAAATATCTCGAACAGAGAATTCAGTGGCAAGTAGGTATTCTTAACTCCAGTGAGTGTGGCAATAGACTCTTCTTAAGTAGCCATTTAGTCTATTCTATCAGAGTACACTAGAAAGAATAATGCTTATCTAAAGTCTGTTGATATCTATCTATCTATTCTGTTCATATCTATCTATCGAGCTATCTATAGCAGTCCATATCTATCTATTTATTTATCTAACTATCGCCGTCTGCTCATGATCTATCTATCTATCTATCTATCTATCTATCTATCTATCTATCTATCTGATTCTGTTCATATCTATCTATCTATCGCAGTCTGTTCATATCTATCTATTTATTTATCTATCTATCACCGTCTGCTCATATCTATCTATCTATCTATCTATCTATCTGGATGTCTCTTCTTATCTATCTATCTGAGTTTATTCATATCCATCTATCTATCTGTGATCATATCTATCTATCTATCTATCTATCTATCTATCTATCAGAGTCTATTCATATCCATCTATCTGAGTCTGATCATATCTATCTATCTATCTATCTATATCAGTCAGTTCATACCTGTCTAAAGGTTTACCTCAGTGTTCATATCTATCTGGCTATCTATCTCTTCCTATCTATCTTTCTATCTGTTCATATCTATCTATCTATATCACTCTGTTCATACTTATCTGTGGGTGTACCTCAGTGTTCATATCTATCTATCTATCTATTCTTAGCGTCTGTTCCTATCTCCCCCTCTTTCTCTCTCTCTCTCTCTCTGTCTATCTATCAGAGGAATGTTAAAGTAAATAATAATGTTTCATTCAATTGTGTTTGTAAAAAGATTTTATGCATTCAGCTCATGTTTTGTAGCCGCCATAGACTTTTTATTTGATAAAAAAAACTCCTTTTGCTCCATCTTACATTGTTTTGTATTCGTTAAATCTTGTATTGTTTTATAAGAATTTGCAGCACATTTTATGCTGAGTTTAGATAAGTTCTTTTCAGTTGTTGTGAGTTCGTGGGTAGAATAAATACTAAGCTAAAATTTGAATGGAGAATTTACTCTATCACCCGTAATAATTTTCGCAAGGAATACATATGAGAAACCTCAGGGAATTTAAATAAAAAACTATATGAAGAAAAAAGGGATCTTTTATAAAACAACACGTTAAATGCATTAGTTGCTGATTGTAATGTGACTGGCCATAATTTTGTTTAAAAAATTGCTACTTTAATTAAAAGAGAAAGCAATTTACTAAGAAAGAAATGTATAGAAAGTGCTTTAATCGCTAGATCATCTTCAATGAACAAAAAGAAAAAGAAACTTAATGAAATTTCACTGGACCAATTCCCCAATATATTATTAGAATCTTTTCTTCGTTCGTCCGAAAATTTTACTGCTCTTCCTCATTTATTTTAATACGTTTTTTAAAATGCCATTAATCCCCATTTATTTTAAATATAAAAATACAAATTTCGTCTATTTTAAATATTTTTTAAAACCATTAATCCCCGTATATTATTCGGATTGCGCCAAGATCGTGTTAACTAGGTATTTTTATTAAAATTTAAATTATGTAACGGTCAGTCTCTGCTCAGTACCCGAAGAGTGCGTTGTGCATGAAACCCCGATTCGTGTTACGGGTGAGGAAAAGTGTATTAATTTATACTTAATAGCTCTGTTATAATACATCGAACACTATTTTATTAACAACAGCACTCAATGTGCGATATCATATATTCATATATATATATATATATATATATATATATATATATATATATATATATATATATATATATTATGGCACCTAGTACACCAGGTCTCTGTATTCGGCCCTTCAAAAAGTGTGGATGGTCCTGCACGAAACCTTCACCACTATAATCAAAATCTCATGTGCTGTTGCCGGGCTGTCGGTTTCCTAGGGAAACGACGGGAGAGTCGAGAAATATATATATATATATATATATATATATATATATATATATATATATATATATTGGTGGATATGGAATAAATTCCGATAACCAACAAATACTATTCTTAAAAAGAGAGCTCACTAAAGAGTAGAGCAAAATATAATTTATTCGAAAATTATAAAATAAATTTATTATAAAATCACTACAAAAATAGCCATTTTGTTTCAACAACTCTGGTGTATTATCAAGGGATGATGTTGAATGTAGAACCTACATTCAACCGCTATTTTTGTAGTGATTTTATAACATATTTATGTTATAACTTTCGAATAAATTATATATATATATATATATATATATATAATCGTTATCCACAGATCGACTGTTACGCTGTATCACAGCTCATCAGTGTGGTTAGACATTCGATTGCTTCAAGCCTGGATCGAAAGCTGACCGATTTGACATCAGTCAGAGACTCTCACCTTTAGTCCACGCTACGTAGAAGGGAATTTTTTGCGCATTATGTACGAGATATAAGTATTATCGACTACCAGAGGGTTCCATTCATAGTGATTAATCGTCGATTGAAGATTCTATTGTTCGCTGAACTGTCCAAGATATGAGGGCCCCAGAAGAGATCAAATAACTACCTGAAAACTCTGATAGAATATAGGGTACGATGGATAAATTGTCGTCTAAATGACGCAAAAAGGAAAGTACTGCTGACATCTCATTTTAACAGATATATTTACCAAAATTACAAAAAATTATCTTGAAATACTAAAGAGTAAATTTATTCAATTAATTCGTCATTGGCTTCAACCACGGACTCTAGGCAATTTCGAGATCTCCTGCAACTCTTCTGGGCGGTCTTCTTCTTTAAGTTGGTGAATACTGCCATAATCGTTGCCTTCAGTTCATCTTTTGTCTTACAAGGAGTTTTCTTGGTCTCTCATTCAACTGTGCTCCACACAGTAAACAAGGGGGTTGCAGTATGGGGAGATGTAAGGGGTGATGTGATCACAGAAACTGTCTGACAGCCATGATTGGTTTCTCCTGCTTCTGTGGCATGGTGCAGAGTCTTGTTGCCACATAAGGTCTGCCATCAGTCAACCTCTTGCTCCAGAGCTGCACTACTTCCTCAAGGCACTTAATGTAGGCCTCCGTGTTGAGTTTGAAGACCTGTGGGAAGATGAATGGAGGCATAACGTCGCTATCACTAGTGATCACTCCAAACAGCTTCGTAATCACCATTAGACTCATCCGACTCTTTCCGAATCCTCTTCATTGTCCCCAAACACTATTTTTCTGTTCCCATCTAATCCTACTACACTGTGCAGTCAACAAAATCAAAAACGAACAACGCTAAATTAAAAATATAAAATGGCGACAATTTACCCATCGCACCCGCAGGCTACTGTCCATTGGCAAAAGAATTCACTGATAGCGAGACATGGGAGTATATAAAGGTGTCACTCCTTTCCATTGAAAACTGCAGAACTAGAGTTGAGAAAACTGAAGGTACCTCCAACTGCCAGATCTTCTCCCGCAGCCGCTGTCGTACAAAATCTACATACTGTTTCACTTGAAATGTTTTGTTTAATTGTCGTGTCTAGACGAAGATGAGATGGTAGAAAGATCGAAAGGCTTCGACAATAACAACCAAGACAAAATCTAGATAAGATTTCATTTCAACAACATTTTACAATGTTAAAATAGTAACATCGTTTTCTTAAAAATCTTATTGGTTATTCATTGATTTTTTTTTTGAGAGAGAGAGAGAGAGAGAGAGAGAGAGAGAGAGAGAAATTCAATAGGGGTGTCCATGAATGACCCCACAGGAAACCAGACAGAACATAAGTGGCCATAACTATCCAATGAGTTTTGATTGATGATTTGTAAATTGGCGCCGCCAGATAGTCTTGAAATAGCAACGAAGTCAGAAGGTCGCCTGCTGTGACCAGCTGCTTCAAAAGTTCGTCTCGTCAACTAATAGATAAGTATTGGGACTTGGATTCTCTATTAAAAGGACAGAGAATATACAGATAGCCTTGCAGACCACTCGACATTGTGCCGAGTTCGATCCTCACAGATGGTCTCTATTAAAAGGTCGGATGATATCAAGGTAGTCCCGTAAATCGTATGATATTGTTCGATCATCACAGTGTCCTTCTATTAAAAAGGCATATGATATAAAGGATTACCTTGCAGACCATTCGACACTATGCCGAGTTCGATCCTAACTGGGCGTCTTTTTTAAAAGGGTGATTGTTATAAAAAGTAGTCTCTCACAATATTCGATATTGCAAAGACAATTATTGTAAAGAATTCAATCATCCCAGAGTGTTCAGCTATTAACCCTAGAACACTAACCGTCAAATAAAGTTCCACCACTACTAACCATGGGTATATCATACCCGATTTTGAAAACATCAAAAAAAAATTAAATATAATTCTTTATTTGAAATATTTTACATACAGGCACTTCAAACTTTGTACTTTGAGATAACATTAATAGGAACTGAAAAACATTATTTAGGTAAGAAAATCAGGTACTGAAAATTGTAATTAAAAATAGGAAAAGTTGGGTACTATGGGTACCCATGGTTAGTGTTCTAGGGTTAAAAGGGTGGAGACACGAAGAATTAATGGATAACGGCTTGGATTGAAGAATCGGAGAGCCAAGTTCGAATTGCAGTCGGATCCATTATATTCACTTATATATATATATTACGTATATTGGGAAAGGTATGACTCCTATAGCTTTGGTAATTTCAGCTACCATGAATTCAAATCTGTATGTAACCCTGGCGAAGCACAAACTATACAGCTAAAGAAAGGATCGTTCGCTTTGGCTCGATGATCCAGACTACGGCAATAATGATGATGATTAAAACGGTAAATGTTTTCAAAATAGACTCGCAGATCATTCGACATTGTGAAGAGTTAGATCCTCACTGTGTGCGCCTCTATCAAAAGGCTGAATTTTATCATGGTCCATTTGATAGTGTAAAGAATTCGATCGGCATGATAGGCATTCCTTTTATGAAGTTTTGTAAACTAGTCTCGCAAACTAAAACGGAACCGTCATATAGCCAGATGTGCCTTGACCGATTGAGCCACAGAGGAGGGTTTCGGCTAGCAAGGTCGATTTTACCGTATAAACACAATTCTCCATGATTTTCCCTCATACATTCATATCTGCTCTATGCGTATCCAAATGTAAACAAATGACGTCACATATTATGAAATGGACAACGTCCGGCAATTATTTTAAGCCGGTTTCATATAGGATACAGGTTCGATTCCTGTCGGAGAATGCATATTTTCTATGAAAATTTCTCGGACATTCAGGCCGGTAAATGTTTTTAATACTGTTTATTATAACAGAACATTTACTTAAATATTTGTATCTATAAAAAAAAAACGTATAAATATAAAAAATGTCTTAAAAAATAATTGTCGGACTTTGTCCATTTTATAATGTATAAACTAAATATATAAACCAATCAGAATCGTAGCTATTAATGACTAAAATATATTTTGATTGACTAAAAAAATACATCAGACGAGTTATTTATTTATTTTTTTTTTGTTCTTCCTCGTCGCCGAAGACACCAGATTTTAACAAAACAATTTATTGTCAGGGTACTTATTGAAAGGTACTTATTGCAGGGTACTTGTTGCAGGGTACTTATTGCCAGGTTTAAGCGATTTCACCAATTCTAGTCTTCTTTCTTTCTCCCGCCTTTCTCCTGTCGTCAATAAAATAGAATCTTGTTAATTGTAATTGCAGTTCGTGTAAGGGGCCAGT